CTCGTGTCATGTTGATTAATTCACCTTCACATTTCATTACCGAGCTTAAAATTTACCATCTTTATTAACTTATCAATTTCTACAGCTTTAATATACTGTTGTTGAGTTAAGTTCTTTACAAAGAAACTGGAAAATGCACGCAGAAAATTGCTAAAATTTTAAGGAATAACTACCGCGTTTTCGTGCCCAACACGGCTATTTTTAATCCTGGAAAGAAATTTGACCGGGGCAGATTTTGATCACGTGCTAGGCAATCACTTCTGAGCCGTGAGCGCGTGTCACGCAATCAGCAAAACAACGCTATAAATTGTAATTTTCGTCAAGCTTCATCTAAACACTTGTATTGATTACCCTTGAGCCTAAAATTTACCTTTTCCTCTCAAAATCATTATCAAAAATTTAGTTGGCAAACGGCTTGCCTGGGTCCTTGCCCATGGGGCAAGCAAGGAGAAAAAGTTTCTTGTCCGAAGGAAAAATCTACTTGTCCTGGATGACCAGACGGGAGTTTTTTCGAGCCCTGCATATCTTCAAAATTGTAGTTGGATTACCCCACTGAGTCGTATATAAATCTTGCCAAACAAGCTCATCACATTGAAGAGGTCCTGGCTTGTACCCAGACCCCCATCGAATAGGTAGCTTCAGTTGAATCTGGTCGGAAACATAGCCATTTGGATACACTCTGTAGTGAACTGAATGAACTCAAAGTGCTTCTTCGAGGGCAGACTAACCCTGAACAGCCAGAAGATGTAAACGTTCTGTCATCTGCACAATCTGCCCCTCGGTGGTTACAGTTACAGATTCAAGTGAGGTGACAGCATCAGAAAACCAAGAGCTCAAACAACTTTTGGGTGAGTATAGAGATGTCTTTGCTAGCAATGATTGAGAAGTTGGTTGCACCCACAGAACTCAGTTTCACATCCATACCTTGACCCAGGTCCATGTTGCTGTTGGCTGCTGCGAACTTCCCTCTCTCTACGTTCTGAGGTTGATCAGCAGATCATGAACATGGAACCACAGGGTATTATTGAGCCTTCCAATTCTCCCTATTCTGCACCTGTTTCACTTGTGCCTATAGGAGATGGCTCATACCATTTCTTTTCCGACTTCTTGCTCTGAATGATGCTACCGTCATAGAGATTTTTCCTCTGCCTTCTGTTCATGAATGCTTGGATTCTCTTCTTGGCTCCAGTCGTTTCACTACTCTAGACCTGTACAGTGGCTATTGGCAGATCCCCATTGCTAAGGGACTTCGCCACAAGACAGCATTCTTGACTGAATCTGGTCATTGGCAGTTTTGGGTGATGCCCCAGCTGTCTTTGCGTGCCTCATGGCAGATATCATGAATGGCTTGCAGTAGAACGGAATTGTTGTATACCTAGATGATATCACCATTGGTGGCAAAAATTTTCAGAAACACTGATCTGTTTAAGGAAGTTTTGAAACGACTATGTGAGGCTGGTTTGACTGTCAAGTCAAGCAAGGTGTCCTTGTGTCAAACAAAGCTCCCATTCCTTTGCCATTAAATCTCAACCAACAGGATTGAACCTGACCCCATCAAACTGAGTGTTATTTGTAATTAGCCACGCCTCCAGAATACCAGAACTGCAAGCATTCCTCAGACTCTGTAACTACTATGCTGATATCATCCCTAACCTCCAACAGAGTGCTCCCATCCTCAACCAGCTGAGAGGACCAAAATTCATCTGGTCCTTGGAGAGGTAGGCAGCCTTCAATGACTTGAAGTTTGCATTAACTTCCAATGATGTCCTCCTTCAGTTCCCTTACATGTCCAAACCTTTTGAACTGAGCACAGATACCTCCGATATTGGCATAAGCTGTATGGATTGGGTTGATACCATTGACAGACATGTCATTGACAGACAGTGAATTAAACTGACACACTCACAATAAAGAAGCATATGCCTTCATCTCCACTCTCCGGAAATTTTGGCAGTACCTCTTAGGATGTTGTTTCATCTGGCACACAGGTCAAATGGGCCTTCAGTGGTTGAGAATTGCGCATGACCCCTGAGGTGGTTATGCCCATTGGCTAGAAGAATCAAAGAATTTGATTTTGTTATCTGGCATAGGCCAGGTGCCTCAATCCCCATGCGGATGCGTTGTTGTCCCATACGCCTGCCGTCCACTCATTGTTTTGTGATGGCCAGTTAAGTCTCCTAGAATTCCAAAACTGTCAGAAATCTGATCCTGTGTTAGGAATCCTCATCAATGACTTGAAAAGAGGTACACTAGAAAGAATGTAAACAACCCTGCAGTGCATAATTGCCCAAGAACTCGACATTGACAAGAAGCCTATCTGGGCTCTACATCCTCAAGCCAGTGGAATCATTGAGAGACTAGACTGAACCATTGGAGAAATGTTGCAGAAAACAACAGACCAATGTGGAGATAACTGGGATTTAGAGATTCCCTCTGTCCAGTTTCACTACATGAATCATGACCACAGTGCCACCACTTACTCGCCATTCTACTTGTCCTATGGCTATCATCCTCGCACACCACAATTGGTTCTTGCACCACTTGCCACAAAGCGCCAGCAAACAGCCCATCAGTGGGCATCAACTCTGTTATGATGTATGCTACCCCCCCCCCTCCCCCGACCTAGATACCCTACTAAGTTGCAGAGTTGCTGGCAGGGTCCCTACATAGTTGTGAAATGCCTCAAGGGTAATACCTACCATATCAAACTTGCTAAAATTTTCTGGAAAAAGCTCCTGCAACACCATGGTCAACTTTGTGTTCATACACACCCAGAAAGGCTACAACCTGCTTGTGGTGAGAACCCTACTGATGCTCCCACTGTAGTCCCTACTACTGTTTCTGTGCCACTCCCATCCAGCCAAGTGGAAGTTCGTGTCATCCGGGAAGATATACCCTTCACAAGACATACAAACCAGAGCTTCTCTTGCCCGCCAGACTGACATTGCTGCACCAAATATACCTACTGCTCACTTAAAGAAAGGAAGCATTCCTGAATCATGCCTAACGTTACCTTTGGAACTTTGTCACGGGGAGAGGTCACACAGGCCTACCCAAAGATATGGAGACTGTACACTGAACTCTTTGGATGATGACACTGATGTTTACTTTACACAGTGACACATAGTTAACATAAGCTCCTTACCATTTTGTTAATTTTGGTTAGAAAAATGCTATTTCTGCAGCAGACTGGCATTCCATCTAAGGGATGTAGGGAAAGGAGAAATACTATCATTATTTTATTACTTTATGCTTCCAAACCCAGTACAAGCTTGTATGTTGCTTTAGTTTTTTTGGTGATTTCTGCCGCCTTGGGCTTTCTTTGCCATCATTGTCATTCCCTTCATAACACGGAGTCAAGGCTGCACACTGCAATTTCCACCATTGTCCGCCAGGAGGCAATTTGCCAGAAAATCCATCTGAGTGGCAATTATTTCTCCCACAGTTGACAAACAAGATCATTGCACTCTGGCAAATGTTTCATCTCCAGAAATCCCTGCACATTACGCTGAAAATGAGTGTTTTTTACCAGCATTTCCAAGTTTGCTTCTTTCTCCAACAGCTTGTGATGTCAGGGCTGAACAGGACCACAGAAGAGGCTTGAGTTCAAGGTCAACTTTCTCTCTACCAATGGTGGTGCAGCTGTCATAAAGGTTAAATCATTTCCTGCTTCTTACTAGATACAAAACATAGAAGCAGTAGTGACATTATGTGCTGAGACTTTAGAGGCAAAAGAATCACTTTAAAACATTGGATTCCATAATTTAATTAAGAAAATTGCAATTTCTTTGTGTTTGGTTTCATGTACTAGGCATAACAGTGCACAAATTGCACTTGGGCTAAACACTTGACCCCCACAGTGCTTCTCACCACCCAGGTATACAATTGGTACTTAATGAATTGAGTGCTAGGTGCTAACCCTGTAACAGAGTGGCATCCTATCTAGGGGGTGGGGGAGAGGAGAAATACTTTTTATCACTTTATGCTTCTAAAAGCAGCATGAGCTGTGGTGTTTTGGATGACACAGATTCAACCTTGCATGTACAGTGTACCTTCATTGTCAACCCTCTACCCTAATAGTGGTAAAACTTTATTTTAAAAAATCTGATGACTTATTTTTAATTGTGTAGTTTGTAAAACTTAAGGTTACAGTATACCTTCAGGGGTGTCTTGTACGCAAGTGATGTAGCGCATGCAGTTTAAGCTGTAGATACCTAAACCCCTATATCAAATTAAAGCTTATGGGGCTGGCTATCAAACTATACCAAGAATTTTGAAAGAAAATGAATTGTCGAATTTTTCACGACCACTAAATGCAAGCGCCCAAATCACTTTTGAAAGCTACAAGCCAAAGCGAATTTTGTTTTTCGCCAATTCAATTTTTTCCTCGGTTTCAGGGCCCAAAGCGCTTAAGAAACGTGTCTGTGTTTTGGCATATTCAATTGCAGTAAAAAGTTACAGAACATTTTCGAAATAGGATTTAAAAAATGTGGAGTGATCGTACAAAAATCTC